CCAGGGAAGGTTTATGGATGCTCAGAATTACAAAAGGTTGTCTCCCAAAGTTTTTGATTTTCGTAAAATTTTGAAAATCCACGAAAACAAAATTGTAAATCCACAAAATTTACTATTATTGTTGCAACGAAGAGAAAAGGCTAATGGATGGTAAAACTGACGGACTGGAATTAGCAGGGCTTGATGGAATCAGTTTCATTTTAATTCAATTGTATTTTTACTTGATAAACCATCTTTAAGCTTATAGAGCTTTTACTCTGTCTGTTTTTTGTTTAAAAAAGAAAACCCTTTTGGTAAAAAAAGTATAAAATAGAAAATATAAAAATTTATGTTTATTGGGATCGAAAGAGACAGATTGTTGGGACCAGGACCAACACGTTAAATCACTGTGGTACATACATCATACAAAACACTCAAGTTTATATGTTGGGACCAGGACCAACCCGTTAAATCACTGTGGTACGCACATCATACAAAACACTTAAGTTTATATGTAAGATCATCGTATTTTAGACTAAAAGTACGACATAAAATGAAATTAACCAAAAATTTGCAGTTTTACATGATCAGTTTATCTATCTATCTATCCTGTATTATCCAGTCTATCTTCCTATCTTGAGTATGTGCCTGCCTGAGTATCTGGGTGGTATGCAGGACTGAACTAAGGAGTAAGGATCCAGAATCCTTCAGTTCCATCTTGACTTTCAAGGAGTAAACTCGTGATATAGTTCAAAGCACCGTACAGTGATCTTGTACCGTTCTGCAAGTTTAACTAATGTACTTTTTGTGAATATACAAGGTATGAAAAAGTCCGTCAGTAGTTGTATTACAAAATGGGAAAAAAATTCGAACTGAAATTTCTTGAACAGAACTCGATTATGTCTTTAAAATAAACTATATTAAACATTAAACAGACATGACAAATTCTGTGATAACAATTCAAATAAATTGCACCAGCAGTAAAGCAAATTATGTTTACAAAAGTTTAACAAGAAAATTGCATAAATATTAGTCCCTGCTTGCATATTAGATGCAAGTTTATATAAATATTAGCCCCTGCTTACATATTAGATGCAAGTTTATATAAATATTAATGTAACACCATATTTATAAACCTAACAAGAACAATTCCTTTTTTAACAAGTCCTTTCATATTGATACAAAAATATACCAGTCATTTAGGTAAATAATACATTATCCGTTCATTTCCAGGGATCTATTCGTTCTTTTAAGAAATCTACATATTTCCTTTCATGGATTTACCCGTTCCTTTCAATAGATTTATCCTTTCCTTTCCATGGACCTATCCTTCCCCTGGATGTTTCCGTTATTTTCCATGGACCTATCCGCTCCTTTCCATGGACCTATCCGCTCCTTTTCATGGACCTATCCTCTCCTTTCCATGGACCTATCCGCTCCTTTCCATGAACCTATCCGCTCCTTTCCATGGACCCATCCGCTCCTTTTCATGGATCTATCCGTTCCTTTTCAGGGACCTATCCGCTCCTTTCCATGTACTTATCCGTTCCATTCCATGGACCTATCCGCTCCTTTCCATGGACCTATCCGCTCCTTTTCATGGACCTATCCTCTCCTTCCCATGGACATAGTCGCTCCTTTCCATGGACCTATCCGCTCCTTTCCATGGACCTATCCGTTCCTAGGGACCTATCCGCTCCTTTCCATGTACTTATCCGTTCCATTCCATGGAACTATCCGCTCCTTTCCATGGACCTATTCGTTCCTTTCCATGGACCTATTCGTTCCTTTCCATTGATTTAAAATTTCCTTTCCATTGATTTATCATTTCCTTTCTATGGATTTATCCTTTCCTTTCCCTGGATCTATCTGTTAACTATTATCCTACCCATGACTTCTATATGAAACTATCCTCAAACCCCATGAAGAAATCTATTTATCCCTCACCCTTATAATCTATCCATTAATCTATGTATAAATGTATCTACCCTCTGTATCTATGTATCTATCTATCTATGGTTAATGATTGTATAATTACAGTATATAGACTAGTATACAGGATAGAGATGTTTGTTCTTCTCCAGCGTATGTTGTAATATGTGACCTCACAGTTTTCCTGCTCATTCGTCTTTATTCATATTCAGCGCTGCTCATTCTTGGATATTCATACATAGTCCTGTTCATTCCTCTATATTCATACACAGTCCTGTTCATTCGTCTTTATTCATACACAGCCCTGTTCATTCGTCTTTATTCATACACAGTCTTGTTCATTCGTCTTTATTCATACACAGTCCTGTTCATTCGTCTTTATTCATACACAGTCCTGTTCATTCGTCTTTATTCATATTCAGCGCTGCTCATTATTCGATATTCATACATAGTCCTGTTCATTCGTCTTCATTCATACACAGTCCTATTCATTTGTCTTTATTCATATTCAGCGCTGCTCATTATTCGATATTCATACATAGTCCTGTTCATTCGTCTTTATTAATATTCAGCGCTGCTCATTATTCGATATTCATACATAGTCCTGTTCATTCGTCTTTATTAATATTCAGCGCTGCTCATTATTCGATATTCATACATAGTCCTGTTCATTCGTCTTTATTAATATTCAGCGCTGCTCATTATTCGATATTCATACATAGTCCTGTTCATTCGTCTTTATTCATTCATAGTCCTGTTCATCCGTCTGAATTCATATTCAGCACTGCTCATTATTCGATATTCATGCATAGTCCTGTTTAGTCGTCTTTATTCATTCATAGTCCTGTTCATCCGTCTGAATTCATATTCAGCGCTGCTCATTATTCAATATTCATACATAGTCCTGCTCAGTCGTATTTATTCATTCATAGTCCTGTTAATCCGTCTAAATTCATATTCAGCGCTGCTCATTATTCGAGTCGTCTTTATTCATTCATAGTCCTGTTCATCCGTCTGAATTCATATTCAGCGCTGCTCATTATTCAATATTCATACATAGTCCTGCTCAGTCGTATTTATTCATTCATAGTCCTGTTAATCCGTCTAAATTCATATTCAGCGCTGCTCATTATTCGATATTCTACATAGTCCTGTTCAGTCGTCTTTATTCATTCATAGTCCTATTCATCCGTCTGAATTCATATTCAGCGCTGCTCATTATTCTATATTCATACATAGTCCTGTTCAGTCGTCTTTATATTCATACACAGTCCTGTTCATTCGTCTTTATTCATATTCAGTCGTGTTAATTCGTCTTTATTCATACACAGTCCTGTTCATTCGTCTTTATTTATACACAGTCCTGTTCAGTCGTCTATATTCATATTCTGATTTTTCATATTCAGTCCTGTCCATTCGTCTTTATTCATACGCAGTCCCGTTCATTCGTCTTTATTCATATTCAGTCCTGTTCATTCGTCTTTATTCATACACAGTCCCGTTCATTCGTCTTTATTCATATTCAGTCCTGTTCATTCGTCTTTATTCATATTCAGTCCTGTTCAATCGTATTTATTCATACTCAGTCCTGTTTTTCGTCTTTATTTATATACAGTCCTGTTCGTTCGTCTTTATTCAAACAGAGTCCTGTTCATTAGTCTTTATTCATACACAGTCCTGTTCATTCGTATTTATTCATACACAGTCCTGTTCATGCGTATTTATTCATATTAAGTCCTGTTTTTCGTCTTTATTCATACTCAGTCCTGTTCATTCGTCTTTAATCATACACAGTCCTGTTCATTCGTCTTTATTCATATTCAGTCCTGTTCATTCGTATTTATTTAAACACAGTCCTGCTTATTCGTCATTATTCATATTCAGTCCTGTTAATTCGTCTTTATTGATATTTATTACTTTTTAGTCCTACTGATTAACACTTTGTTCTCGACACTTTGTTATTTTCTGTTTTTTTCCATACCCTTTGCCCCATCCCCCTGTACTTTTTAAAGGCCCGCCGACCTAACCTCCCCCCGCCATACTTCTTCTGTCAATGACAAACTTAAAAGCGTGACCTAAATATGTTTAATTGAAGTATTGCAATGTATAATCTAGAAGTGGATCCGCAAAAAAATCATATTTTCTATTTTAAATTAATCATATTTTCTATTTTAAATTAATCGACTTTCTCGCGAAATCATTTTTTCCAGACTCAAAGTCTCAAAAGCTTTCACAACATTAGTAAAAAATAAGTTTAAAATTGTAAACAGACAAAGAAAAATGAATTAATTTCTATCAAATATGAGGGTTTTAGATTAAATGTTTTTTAATGCATGCGTTTTAAGATCCCCCTGTACTAGATTCAGTGTAAGGTTAGAAAGAATTACATTATTATTACTATTATGCAAGATGAGTTTAGAAACCGGGAAACCATGTTTATCTGTGACAGGATTATATTTAGACGTCAGTGTAGTTCTTCACAGACAAAATATAAATAGATGGAGTAGACAGACTGGCATTATGGAATACTTGATAGGACGAATGGACAGACAGAAGAGACGGACAGCCAGAAATATAAGAAACACAGGACGGACAGACAGGCAGACGGGACGAGAAAACAAACAGATAATGCATTTAGCAGACAAACTGACAAATAGATGGGAAATGCAGAACAGACGGTTGGAGTAGGAGACAGAAGGGACAACCATACAGACAGATAGAGTTTGAACAGACAGTCAGACGCCCACTCTTTTCCATGTTAACTCTCTATTATGCAAACACTGACACGAAAGTATTATGTAAGAATATAATTCTGAAAAATGTGTTCCAAAATAATTCCAAAAACGTGTCTCAAAAAAGTCCAAAAATTAACCTCAAAATCATTCTGAAAATGCAAACACTTTACACGAAAGTATTTTAAAAGAATAAGATTCTGAAAATATGTCCCAAAATAGTTTCGAAAACTTGTTTCAAAAAAAGTGTCTCAAAAAAGTCACAAGGAAGTCCAAAAATAAATATCAAAATTATTTCGAAAATGTGTTTCAAATAGTTTTGAACATGAGTCCCAAAATATCACTGATATTGTCTAGGATGAATGCGTCGCGGTTCAACCATCTCCCCTCCTCCTCAGCATTCAGGTGATGCTCACACACTACCAACTCAATATTTAAATCGAATGGTTCTAAAATTCTGTAAATATTGTAAGTTTAAAAACTGTTGAAAATATGCCTCAAAGGGACTATTCACGTAATTTCAATAAATTCATAGTGTTAAGTCTGGTTCACAATGCATGTCTGATCAAAAATAAATGAGGTATCCATGTTTTCTCTTTGAAAATTGGCTATTTTTAATTTTAGTTTCTCTAAATAAAAATCTTGTCATTCCAGAAAAACACAATATATTCCACAGAGTATCGATCAGATAAAAAAGTAACGTTAAAGTCCGGTATGGTTCCTCTTGAAATAAAGGGTCACTTGAAATTACCATGACATGTCCCTTCAAAAGTTTTATTCAAATTTGTGTATTCCTGACATCATTTTAAAGTTCATTAGTTTACAACGGATTTAAAATTCCAAGAGATGTCTAAGATGTTAAAATTTATGAATTGATAAATTTGCATTTTAAGACCTGTTGAGCGGAATAAGAATTCTATCCTTCTCTCAAGTGCAGATTTTTCATCCCTCCCGTACATAATTGAGCCGGAGAAATCAAAATACTGGAATTCTTCAACAGAACTAAACTCTGTCCAATCAGAGCACATCTCCTCATACTCTGTCCAATCAGAATCAAGATTATTTTGTCCCAGCCAACCAAAATCAATTACTTCAATCTTAATCCAATCAGAGAGCAATGTCTACAGTGACCAGCAGGCTAAGGAGTCTTCAAGAATGGTCCAATCAGAACGCTCGTCCAAAGATTGGCCGAACCAATCAGACGCCTCATCTAAAATTTGGGGAAGTCCAAACGTAAAGTCCAAAGAGAATACCAGTCTTGTTATTTTGGACTCAATTGGTGATCATACTTATTCCCCGCCAAAACCGTTTGCTAACAAACCCCAGACTTTCAAGAGCCCTATCTTCACCAAAGTAAACTACTGCAGTACAGAAAGTCCATATTCTAGTTCAAACAGTGACTATTCCTCGCTTTCCGGTCAGGTCTTAGATTCCTGTCCATACACCACCGACTATATGTCCCTCCCAGTACAAGAAAGTACTAAACGTGTAGACGAATCAGTACATGAGCTTGTACAACATCGCGGGGATACATCGTCCTCTAGCAGTTCTAATAAATCTAACAGGTATATAATATCAGCTTGAGAAAATTAAATAGATTTTTACTTAAATGGAGTGACCGGCTATGTAAGGTAGTTGAACTGAGTATGCAGTGTTGTGGAAAACTTCTTTCGGATTAATATGACTCAAATGAATCTGAAAGAAGTTTTCCACAACACTGCATACTCAGTTCAACTACCTTTCATAGCCGGTCACTCCCTTTAAAATAATTCTACCCCGTCTCAGAGTTACAAACAAGTTTTTACATTTCTAGATGCACTCGGGAGATACATGTTAATAACGTGTTCAGAACATTTTTAATTCAAGTAACATAAAGGATTAATTTAAATACAGTGATAACCAGAAAACTCTAAAATTGGAAGAGACTTTTAGAATCAAGTTATGACTTTAAAACCACACCAATTATGCTGTGCAACACCCATTTTTCTATATTAGTGATGTAATAAGTGGCTAGTAAAACAATTTGCTTCGTAACAACATAAAATACCCTTAAATATTGCTAAAATATTGTCTTCCCATTTCATTGTTTTCTGGCTATCACTGTAGTTGATTATAAAAGCTTACTTACTCCAGGTCCTCTTTAGCCTCAATTCATCAGTACTCTACCCTACCCTCGTTTAAAACTAGTCAACGACGACCAATAAACCAGAAGACGGTTGAGTTGGCTAACTACGCTAAACAGTACGAAGGATTCCAACAAAACAGGAACAGTCCCTTTTTATTAATCTTAAATGTTAAATCAAGAACAACTAGGGAGGGGGTGCAGAGCCGCCGTGAGCCCAGCAAAATGACCTCCGGAGCTTCCAGATTCGCAGAATGACCCCCTAGCCAATTAAAACCAGCATCGTGCCTCACGTCTCCGAGCCTCCGCGACTCTTACTCCATGTCCAGCATTCTCATCTCAAATAACACATATTTGGCTTTTACATCCAACAAAAGCTTTTTTTCGAAAAATCTCAACATGATCAAATAGTTTTTAAAAATACATAAACAAATTGTCTTAAAACTCAACTTTAATTGAAATTTAAACTTCTTTTTTGTTTTTCTATATTTCACAAATTATTAAACCTGTGTATAACTATTGCAGCTTTATATATAGATAGACAAATTTTATATCATTTCAAAGGTGTATCATGTACGTATCTAACTATATAAGCACCAACTCACAAAAAACATATTAGTTTTTATGAATTACTTAAATATAATAAAATACAATAAACGCACAAATTTAAGATAAGAATGCTAAACGTGGAGTAAAAGTAAGCGTTGTGGAGGCTCGGAGACGTAGCGTGAGGCAAGGGGATGATTTAGATTGGCTAGGAGGTTATCCTGCGACGGCTCGATGCACCCCCTCCCTCGAACATCTCTAAGATACAAAGGTCAAATATGATTAAAAATATAACCTACGGATGTAATTTTTGTTTTCAAAGTTTTAAGATATAAAAACATTTCTTTTCTTTACTTTAGTCCGTGTTTGGTTTCTTTAGTAGTTTCTTATCAGCGAAATAATCTTAAATATTGTATATCTATAACACTAATTAACCCATTTAGGTATAATTAAACATATAATAGGATAATTGATCTCTATAGAACCCCTTGTTGTTTGGCCCTTGCCAAGGGTGTATCATAATGTTAGTCTTGCATCTCTTACAATTTATTCTGTAAAAATAGTTTTTTTCTTCGATTAAATGGAAATATACGTTCACAGGGCGTGAAACTAAAAGTTTTGGATCTAAATATTGCAAGAAGTTTGAATGAATATATGAAGTATTATTACAGAGACACCCTGCCTTGATAAACTAGGATACTCCCTAGACAACAATTCTTCAAGGAATATACTTTGGGCTTAACCTTGTCTTGCGTAATT